ACTCCAATTTGGGGTCATTTTAGGGACCCAATTTGGGGTAATTCCCACAATTTTAGGGACACATTTTGGGGTCATTTCCTGCATTTTAAGGACTCTAATTTGGGGTAATTTTAGGGACCCAATTTGGGGTAATTCCCCACAATTTTAGGGACCCAGTTTGGGGTCATTTCCTGCATTTTATGGACTCCAATTTGGGGTCATTTTAAGGACCCAATTTGGGGTAATTCCCACAATTTTAGGGACACATTTTGGGCTCATTTCCTGCATTTTAAAGACCCCAATTTTGGGTTTTTCCCCCTCGCTGACCTTTTTTCATTGCAGGGATGCTGCGCAAGCTGCGGATCCGGCGCGAGGACGACCTGCAGGCCGTGGTGGAGGTGGCCGGCCACGTCTTCGGTGACGGCGTCACCAACTGGGGCCGGGTGGTCACTCTGGTGGCCTTCGGGGCCTTCGTGGCCAAACACCTCAAGAGAGTGGGTCAGGAGGGAGCCATTGGCCCCCTGGCCACCATCATCACCGACGCGCTGGTGTCRGCCAAGCGCGACTGGCTCGAGGGCCAGGGCGGATGGGTGAGTCCAAAATTCCCAGATTTGCCCAAATTCCTGAGTTGGATTCCCAGATTTCCCCCAATTCCTGAGATTTCCCCCAAATTCCCATATTTGCCCCAATTCCTGAGCGGAATTCCTGAGATTTTTCCCTAATTCCTGAGCTGAATTCCCGAGATTTCCCCCGAATTCCCAAGATTTCCCCCAATTCCTGACCTGAATTCCCAAGATTTCCCCCAATTCCTGAGCTGAATTTCCAGATTTGCCCCAATTCCTGAGATTTCACTCAATTCCTGAGTTGAATTCCCAAGATTTCCCCCAATTTCCAAGTTTTTCACCAATTCCTCAGTTGAATTCCTGAGATTTGCCCCAAATCCTGACTGAATCCCCAAATTCCCGCAATTTCCCCCAATTCCTGAGCTTTCCCTGAATGGGGCTGGGGGTGTTCAGTGGGGTGAAATGGGTCTGGGGGCTGCCTCACGGAGGCTCCAATGGGGCTGGGGGTGTTCAATGGGGTGAAATGGGGCTGGGGGCTCCCATGGGGCTGGGGGCTGCCCCACAGAGCCTGAATTTGGGCTGGGGGCTCCAATGGGGCTGGGGGAGTTCAAAAGGGTGAAATGGGGTTGGGGGCTCCAATGGGGCTGGGAGAGCTCAGTGGGGTGAATTGGGTCTGGGGGCTGCCCCACAGAGCCTGAATTGGGTTTCAGGGCTGCCCCATGGAGGTTCCAGTGGGTCTGGAGGCTGCCCCATATAAGCTAAATTGGGTCTGGGGGCTGCCCTACGGAGGTTCCAGTGGGTCTGGGGGCTGCCCCATGTAAACTGAATTGGGTCTGGGGGGATTCAATGGGGTGAATTGGGTCTGGGGGCTGCCCCACACATCCTGAATTGGCTCTGGGGGCTGCCCCACTGACTCTCCAGTGGCCCCGCTCGGTTCCCCCGGAGGCTCCGATGGGGTCGTGCCCGCCCTCTCTCCCCGGGGAGGGCTCCACCCCGCCGGGCGCTGAGCGCTGCCTTTGTCCCCAGGAGGGCTTCGTGGACTTTTTCCGCGTGGAGGACCTGGAGGGCAGCATCCGCCACGTGCTGCTGGCCTTTGCGGGGGTGGCCGGCCTGGGGGCCAGCCTGGCCTACATGATCCGGTGACCAGTGGCCGGAATTTGGCCGGACCGCGGGGTCAGCCTGGCCCAAGTGATCCGCTATCCCCGGAACCGCTGGACTTTGGCCGGAGCGGCTCCTCCTGTCAGACACGGACTCGGACCGATATCGAGGTGTCACCAGAGGTGTCCRGTGGCCAAAATTCGGCCRGAGCAGGGGTCAGCCTGGCCCAAGTCATTTGCTATCCCCAGAGGTGTCCAGTGGCCAAAATTTGGTCGGACCAGGACCATGGGGCCACTCCTTCCTCTGGAGGTGTCCGGTGGCCGAAATTGGAGTGGATTTCGAGTTTCCCCAGGGCTGTCCAGTGGCCAAAATTCGGCCAGACTGGACTCGAGTGTCCCTGGTGGTGTCCAGTGGCCGAAATTGGGAGTGACCCCGGTGGATTTCGAGTTTTCCCAGAGCCGCCCAGTGGCCAAAATTCGGCCGGACCAGACTCGAGTGACCTC